AGCAGAAGAACAACTTTCTCTTTATTTCTTATTGTATTTTCCTTATGAAGTAAGCGTATAGCATTGCTATGTTGTGTCCGCATCGCCTCTTATGATTTTGAATTACTTGAAGGGTTTTAATGAAATCGGGCCCGAAACTCATGCGAATGGGGGCTAGCCAAATCTCGTAATATTTAATTTTTACTCTAAGTAGACTAACAAAACATGGAGTACGAACGAAATGACAAAGAAGAATGAACCCTGCATATATTAACAACAGCATGTAGAGTTCTGAGTTGATGCACGGCAGCAGATGTTAAACATATGAACATTTCTTAAAATGCAAAAATGCTCGAAATTTTCTCTCAGGTTTTATTTTGATAACTAATAGACCATTCGAACCATAATTAGGATGGTTTATATATAGGGATAGATAATTAACATTCCTTCATACAGTGTGGTATATATTCTGATTGTGCCACTATAGAAGGAGTATGGATTGGCGAATGGATTTATTGCCCACTTATATTCCCCGCTAGGAACTACAATTACAGCGCTATCGCGCATCTCCACACTTTATAAATCACTACACGCTAAGTGTTCTCCAGCCTGCAGTGTCTCCAATAGCCTTTCCCAAACAACGTCTTCTAACATTGGAGATACTTCAGCTTCCCGCGCTCATGTCACTACTATCCGGCGAATATCCCGCAACCGAACTTCTTCTGCCGGCCTGGGGTTCTTGCAATATAGCATCGGGGCGGACCCAAGAGAAGACACCCCGTCTCTGTGGTATTGTTGTGATTCTCGTTCCGGCGGGAACTTGTTACTTAGAAACGGCTTGCATAACCCCGTTCTATTATTGCGGGCATTGCCTAGCAGTGGCCGCTGTTTACAGAGTCACTGTTTAACAACGATCTTTCACGTTACAATCACACATACAAAAGGTGGCCGTAAGTATGGAACCACAGGCAATTTAGATTTCCTCTTTCCCGCAGTTATAAGTGATGGCACAACGGGCCCATGACTTTACACCTTTCTGAAATTCCTGCAGAACCAATTGAAAACCACTGCGTGAGCTGTGAATGTACCCAATGTCGAGCATTTTCAAGTGCGAATTTGTCACTACCTTAAGTGATCCCATAAGCATCTGGGGGGGGGGGACTATACTACCATCCGGAAGGTCGCGGATACCATTCCCGATGAGGTTACTGGATTTTTTCTACGTACCTAACCCTTCCAGCCGCACTATGGCCCTGGGGTCGACTCAGCCTCTAACAGAAACGAGTACCAGGAATCTTTCTGAGGTGTAAAGGGCGGCCGACGTGTAGGGCTAACAAACTTACCGCCATCGGTAAGCCAATTGTGTAGAGAAAATGTGGAAGCCTCGACATCTCAGAGCCCTATGGGCCTCCACGGCCTGTTACAGGGACAACTATCTCCACGCGATCCAAGATCTTCGAGAAAATTTGCATGTCTTTTTATTGTGAAGTTAGATTACACACGATTCAACATTAGCACATGATTTGTATGTGACAGCAGGAAATTCATTTACAAGGCTATAAATGTAACACATAATAAACGTTTGAAATTTGTTATTTTATCATTATGAAGACATAGTGCAGTCCAGATTGTTACAGACATTGACTGCTTACAATAGTGTAAAGTGGATGGCCAGAACATTGCTAGGTAAGGGACCGGTGAACACCCCGCGACCGAATACACATAATGAAACAATGGAAGTTATGAAAAATGTTATTGGACGTTGCTAGGCAACAGCACACCAATGAAGACGATGGCTAGGAATCAAGTGACTTATTTTCTCTGTGGCCTTCCTTATACTTCAGTAGGACTGTGTTTTCCGTGTGTGGCCGGTGCGGAGACCATATAACGACAGTTACAGATATAACAGTTTTTAGTCGAAATACCCCAAATTTGGAAGTTCGCGGCAGTTCGAGGAGTCCTGACATACGAGGCAACGTGAGTATACACAGACTTCTGGAATCGACCACGTGACAACACGTACTGAGCAGATCTGCGGATCTCTACCCGTGTGGAGGCGGGGTCGAAAACCTGCACCGTGACCCTGCGAGTTGTAGGAGGCGACGAAAAGGGAAGTCTTAAATCTGAGAGAGTAAAATATGGTCGCGATTCGCAATGGACTCGGACCCGCGAAAGACTGCACTGGCAAGAGCCAGCAGCATATACAAAAGGCAGACCCGCCTTCTTGTCAGAAAGGGCGCCTACAAAAACAAGACCGCAACCGTTATATAGTAATAAATATCTGGTCATGAGACCCAGATGGAGCTCGACACCAAGACTGACTGACTGACCGTCAGTCGCAGTGTGATTTTGACCTTTACTTTAACAGTTTTCGGTTTAAATAAAGTTCAGTTCAAGTGAGTTCTCGGTAAGAAACAGCCACGTGAAATTCAGTGACTGAACAAGAAATGGCAAGGGGACTTTATAATGTTAGTTTCAGTGTTCAGATCCATTGCCAGGAGACGGCTAGCTAAGACGGAGAATTCTAGTGCGTGTGCAACGGTGAACTGTAAATTGTGTAAATCAGCGATAGCGCTATATTGCTTGTAATTAGAGAGGTTGTAACCAATGTGCTGATAAATCCAATCATTCGAACTAGAACCCGTCATTTTCGTCGCGTGTTACCCCCTACACGTTTCAATATTTTGTTATCAACATGTTTCCCACCCCAATGAGGTGTTTAACAAAAGCAGCTCTAACATGTTCCCTTCAGCCCTATATGACGTATCATGTTCTGCAAAATGTTTACGTCCCACTATACTTTGTCTTCTGTTTCTGTATATTCTTGATCGTCTGCAATACTAAAGTATGAAGAGGCTGAAGAGTTTATTGACATGATCTCCCTCGTTTCATAATGCTATCCTTATTAATTACAGGCATGAGTCTCATTTTGTTGATCGATCTCCAATCGGATAAATCGTTCTTACAGAAATATTACTTTAAATATTGTTATTCATTATTGTCAGTGACCTGACCAGAAATTATCATGCTTTTATTATCTGAATTGGTACATACGAGTATATTTTAAAGGAAACACCGGCTTACATCTGAATTAAGGATGAATTGCTCATGGGCATGTATGTATGTAGGCGTTTAAATGTTCGAACCCAGAACAACATTGTAAGGACCCCAGGTCCCACGCTGAAGACAGGCTAGCGGCGAGTTCAGTGGACGTCATGGCTTACCCCGCTCTAAAGGAATGCTACTCTGTAGAAAGGTATGTGTTCACATTCCTGGACATGTGACCCCGACAGCCATTCATAACTGAGGTAATATTAAAGCTAGCAGCACCAAGTTGATGTCGAACTGTGTACTCATAACGAACAAGTGAATCGTTTCCAGCAATATGATGATCAACTTGAATAGAGATGATCTTTGTAAAAACGTAAGAAAAAACGTGTTTCATCACTGCAGAGTGGAGCAGGTTTGTTGCTCCACCAGCGGGTCCACATTCTTCTAGGGAGTTCAAGGACGGACTTTCGTCATTCATGTTGTATGGTAGCAGGCCGTGGCACGCGCTGCACCACGGTTCGTGATTAGCGTACAGGAAATGACGTGAAGCTGAATAAGGATGTTGGGATGCAGTACTCGAGCCTTATTCTCGTGAATGGTTTCAAACAAATCGTGACGGGTGAATTACTCGTCTACTGGGGCCACACCCCACCGAGGAATAGAGACATCCCTGGAACCTACACGACTTAAAGATTTCATGTTTTGCTTACTGAGACTCATTGCCTTGTACTAGGGTAGTTTTGAGGCCCATTAATTGTCCTACACGAGTGCGGAGACATGTTAGTTGCCCTTTGATTAGTACTGGGACTCATCAATTGTCCTAGAGGAGTACTGTGAGACTTCTTAGTTGTACTGGCGGAGTAATAAAACTTTCCTTGTTATCATGGAGAACTGAGAACTTTTGGCTGTTCTAAAGAACTAATGAGAGGCTCGTTCGTTTCTGTAAAGGAGTACTGGGACTCATCAGTTGGCCTAGAGCAGTACTGACATCCATTACTTATCCTAGAAGAGCAACAGGACAAGTTTTCTGTGTCAAAGTTAGGACATCCTTAATAGCGGACGACAGACAAATGCGATCCGAGATCTGCTATCTTCTGGGTTACCTATAAATACGGATTTCTACTAATTTGTAGAGAATGTTGTGCAATACTTTCCTGTCTAAATCAATTCAATTCTTTAACAATATAAACGACCGCGGATTGTCCAGTTGTACTCCCAAAGTCCCTCTAGTATGAGAAGAATGCGGAATATTTAATCAGAATGTTGACTATGTAAGATGTGAGGTTTTCACGGCAGTGACTATGAAGAATGCCGTTTTCTGGGATGTGGCGCCATGTAGATATTGTATAAACTGACGTTCCTCCGAAACGTTGGTTTACACAATATCTACACAGCGCCACATCCCAGAAGATGGCATTCCTTACAATGTTAACTGATCTTCTAGATTAGAATTTAAACTAATGATCCCAGTGAGTGTGTCTGTATGTGGTAATTATCTAACCTTGTAAAAATAAAGTTTCATGAAATTTATTTTTATAAAATTGATAGTGAGGTTAGTCACTAACCACCAATCAGTTTTGTCATCCCTTATATAAATGAATGCCTATCACAGTGGCCACGCGGTCTAAGGCATGATATGTCTTAGCTACTTGTTACCTAAATGTTTTCCTTGTCATTTTGTATAACCTCTTCCCTCAGAATTTCACTATGAAACAAAAAGCAGTTACAAAGATTTGAAATTTGCACAACTGAAGATTAATATTCTAATCTTCTGCATTATGACACTATGTAGTCTGGTACGTAAATTAAGGCTATATGCTCTTACGCATCTACCAGACTTCATGTTGTCACAAGCTAGAAGATGATAATATTAAAATAAAAGATAATTTCAAGCGTTGTTAATATTACATATTATCTGTCACAAATTCAGCACCTACAGTAGTATGTATTTGAAACTCTGTGACTTGCAGGAGCCCATGGGCCAGCTGTTGCAGTACCAGAAACCAAACTGGGTAAGCGCAAAGGTCGCTGTAAGTGGTTCAATGTCGCGAAGGGATGGGGTTTCATCACCCCTGATGATGGTGGCCAGGATGTCTTTGTGCATCAAGTAAGTAACGCTGTGTTATACATCCATGGGTTAAAAATTGCCTTCTTTGGTCTTTCTGACTACCACCTAATTGGAAAGTACCTCAATTCTGCAGTTCCCATAGTTTACACAAAGATTAAAACAAATGGTAGCATTTAATAGTATATATATATTTGTGGGATGCTGAAATGGAGGTCTGGGTGTTCATTCTATTCTGTATACTGATTCACTACAGAAAATTTTTCTTCCTGTAAATCGAATGCCAGTGGTTGAATAGTTTTCAGTGTACTTTGAAAGTTATGTTTAGGTAATGTAAATTTATTATTTAGGCAATATAAATTTGTATTTATTTAGGTAATATAAATTTCATAATGCAACAGTAGAATCTTGAATAGATCAGTAGGTATAGTGACTAGGGCAATGTCTGTATGTCAAGTGTGTGAGCCTCTGGTGTCGATTGTTTTTCTAGAGTGTGATTCAGATGTCAGGGTTCCGAAGTCTTGGTGATGATGAGGAGGTGGAATTTGAGTGCAAAGTGTCTGACAAAGGCCTGGAGGCTACATCTGTGACTGGTCCTGAAGGAGCAGATTGCAGTGGTTCTCATCGACGGCCTGTGTCAAAAAAACGCTTCAGGAGGATTAGGTGAGTAGATGTATGAGCTATACAAATCAAATAAAGGTGTAGCTTATTCCAAAGGAATTTATTGATATAAAGAATAAAAATGATCAAGTGAAAGTTTATAACATGACAGATGGTTCATGGACTAAAGATGTTTTTAAGAGAACAGGCTTTCTTCCCCCACTTTTTATTATAAGTTGTAATGATACTTCAGTATAGAAATGCCTTAACTTTCCCTTCCACTTTGATGTTTGTAACAAAATTACCATTGTAGTTTTTTTTATGAAAAGTTCTTGTAAATATTTTTTCATTTTTATTGTGTGCTATCCTCTTGATTATGCAATCTGAATACTTTTTCAATACATTTTTGAAAAGTAAAAATAATGAATGTCCAGAGTATGATAGTTTTGTCTAGTGGCAGGAGTTGAAATAGTCAATTCTGCTGGAACCTCAAGTCAGATAAATGTTGAAACAAATCTCTGCTGTGACATGGGATGTTCACATGCCAGTCAGGTAAACCTCTTGTACCCCAACCTGTTGGTCTGAGCACATGATATATATTTGTATGTAATTCACAGGAATTTCCCTTCTCCATTGTCCAATAGGAAACGGGATCTCATGCAAGACATGTGGTTGGGCAAAATGTTGAGTCAGGATTTCCTCGTCTTTACAGTGTAATTTCCAAATAATGTAGGAACTGAAGCATATTTAATATGATTACATGACATTCATTTTCCACCATATAAGGGTGATCCATTATGTATGTCTAATGAACCCAAGGCTGATTTTCTCCACAAGATCAATAATGTTTCATTTCCTAGTTCATTTCTCAGAACCAAATATTCTCCATTGTATAATGCATTTGCAGGAATATAAAAATTATGCATGACATGTAGGCCTATGTCACGTAATAGCTGGCAGTATTTAAAGAGAACCTTATGAATTCAGTAGTGTAGTAATTTATTAGACAATAAATGATTGGAGACTTGAGCTGGAAAATTTAAAATCAAGAACTTCCTTAATAAAAGCAGTAAAATAAAATTTGTATGATAAAATCAGATTCATTGTTAATGTTTCTTCATTTGTGCCATTTTGGCAAATAGGATTCTGGCATATGCCTTTCAGACAGCTCTGAGTGCACCCGTGTGTGTGTGGAATGAGTTTGTAATCACGAATAAGCTTTCTTACTTTTCATAACAATATTTGTATTTTTTATTACTGTATACTTCATGCTTATTGAAGAGTTACCTAACAGTTGTTGCTCCCAAGCCGAAATATTACTGAATTTATAAGCAATAAGATTTTCCTTAAAAATTATGATTATGTACTTACTTAGTTATGTTTATTTCTTGGCTGTAAATTCTTACTCTGCTGCTCACCACTAATTTGTGGTTGTATTACTGTCTAGGTGCTATAATTGTGGTGAATTTGCAAACCATATTGCTGCAAAATGTACAATGGGTCCACAACCAAAACGGTGCCATCACTGTAAATCTCAGGATCATCTAATCGCAGATTGCCCAGCGCGTTCAGATCGCAACAAGAAGTCAGTGGCATCGTTCAGTGGAGAAATGGAACTAGAATCTCAGGAACAGGTATCAGGAGAGGTGTTACCACATGTAACAGAAGCAGGTGAGTAGAAATGGCCAATTCCTAGCAAGTCCCAGGACCAGCACCAAGCCACATGCCAACAGTAAGAAGCAGCAGCAGCAGTAGCAGTGAGGGCTGCAGTATGAAGTTCCAGTTCACTGTAACAGATGGCGTTATTTATGATCACTGACTTTGCCATCTACTACCATCATTGAGAAGCCAAAGGTGGATTGTAGTTTCCAAATTATGCTGTTGCACATGTAATTTTACAACTATGCAGATAACAAATGAACTACATACTGCAAGAACAGTTTTTAAATGTAAATTAAAATTATATTACCTTTGGTGTTTATTACAGCAATAAAACACGATGCATATCACTACTTCCAGTAAAACCTGTTACCTTAATGAAGTACACTGATAATTATCTGTTAAGAATATTATGATATTTGTTAGTATTTTGATTGCAATGTCATTGACATCAGTTGTTTGAATGAAACCTTTTGTTTTAAGTATGATTCTTGAACATGTCCTGAAATTGTTCATATCAATACATTTTAAAGCTAAGCACTGAGAGGATCACAGTGTTTTTGTGATGGAAGTAGTGATATGAAAACTACTGTGTATTGGAGGTAAAATGCAATTACAACATACTTTGGTGGAAGTTTAAGAAGTGCAATTTTATGGAGAAAAATATTACAACCTCAATAAGTTATTTTGTAGTAACAAAGAAGGAGGAAAAATTATGATGCTGCAATACTACAATATCCTATGGCATTAGAAGTGCCATTAATACGAACTTAGAGTGAACTATGGTGCTGTGAATTGGATGGTGGCCTGTCTCCACTGTTTTAAAATGGGGACCTGTGTCACACTAATAATAATATTGTCAACAGTGGTCCTGAAGGTACAATTGGTTAATCTCTTGACTATACAATAGATAATATCAAATGAACACAAGCTTTACTGGTAATTTGCAAAGGACATATTCTTGTTAACCACATACTGCCTTTTTTCATTTTCTGCAAGGAGATATTTTAAAAACAAATGAAAATAAATATTCTTGTCCTCCTCCATCCCACTTTCTTGTTCTTGAGAAAGGCCCTATTAAACAACTGATCAGTGGGTAAATACAATGTGATATATAATTTTATGCATTCCTTAGTTCAAATATAAATCCTGACACTCATATACAGAGAAGGAGTTCCTGGACCCCTTTGGAGAATAATTTCAGTTACCTGTATATAATGTAACTAATATGGTTCCCTTCAGAAAAAAAGGAGGCTTATCATTCTGTTTCTACTTCTTAACACACTTTCAGCATACTGCAATAATTAATCACTTCTTTTAGTTTCATAAAAACCTTTCCCCTGCAATACTCTGTCTTTGTCTTTGTCACCTTATGCAGCACGTATTTTGACTTGAGTTGTCATGTCTCACATATGCATTTGTAATTTTCAGTGTGCGTCCATTCCTAACATAAATGGCTGTAGTTCATTACAACCCCAAGTTACAGCACAAAGATAGTTTTATTTAGAAGCCGAGCACTTAGATGTTTCAGCTCTCAAAAGAATTAAGGCTATGTATTTCACTCATTCACTCATGAAGCTGAGTCCTTTTTGAGAAGCTGTCAATTGTGCAGCTGAACTCAAGAACTTTCCAGCATTTTATGGAACCTGAAGGTTCATTACTCTGTTCACAGGTCCTCCACTGGTCCCTATCCTGAGCCACATCAGTCCAATCCATACCATCCCATTCTATCTCTCTAAGATCCATTTTAATATTATCCACCCACCTATGTCTTGGTCTTCCTAGTGGTCTCTTTCTTTCTGGCTTTCCCACCAGTAACCTATATACATTCCTCTTCTTCCCCTTTCGTGCTACATACCCTGTCTATCTCATCCTCATTGACTTTATCATTCTAATTATGCTTGGCAAAGTGTAGAAGCTATGAAGCTTGACATTATGTAGTTTAGGCTTTCTATGTATTTAACAAGGTTAATTAAACAGGAAAGAATTGATGAATATTCATAAGTGCCTATATGTTGCAGCCTTTCTTGGTTCATTGAATCACATTTTCATTAATTTTTTTATGAACCTTCTTAAAAAAGAAAACCTGGATGCATTGCTTGGTCATTAGCGATGTTTAAAAATATGCAGTTTTAATTCATTATAATTTTGTTGGCTTTTGTATTTCTTTATGGGTGGACACTCTGCATTTGTGGGTCTTATTACTTATTCTTGTAGGATTACCAGAACATGATACTAATTTCATATTTATAGGTACTATAATATTAAAAATGTTATTACCCAAATTAAGTTCTTATCCTATAATGTTACCTTCTATTATGAAGAACAGTGCTTTGAATTTTGTAGGGAAAAGTAAAATCATACAAATTTATTACCTGCCTCTATCAACTAACTTATTAAAAATAAAATTTTCCCCTTAAGAAAAGCCATCGATACAGATACAATGGAAAAGTACAGAAGAAAAAGACAGACATCCACTCCCATCTTCATGATTACATTACAATATGTTGGAATGAAAGCAGTTTTGTTTGCAAAATACAAATTTTGTGTGCTAGATGACTGAGCTATAAAGGAAACTGAAAACTATGAGGCTGATGATGATGATGATGACAACTGATGTTTGTGAGTGTTAAACTATAAATATGTGTACTTGTTTTACATAAGGGGCAATATGTCAAATTAGTGCTGACTCTGTGAATGTTGATTCATTGAATTTTTTCTAATTAGCTGTGATTTCTTCTTGAAGAAAATAAAAAGAAGGTAGTGTGGTTCATTTTAAATCCAAGATACATATGTGTTTCACACCAGTTTTTAAAGTCAGCTATTGCTGTGTTCAAGTGTATGTTTTAGCTGACAGTTTAGGGGCCTTCTTTCATTGTGTATATTCTGGGTGTGGCTGGTTTGTGGCCAAGAATTATGTTACTGTATTCCATCTCTCTCCTCCCTTATTTGTAAATTTTAGTGCAGCTAAAAGTTCATTTTGTGATTTTCCACTTGCCTTCAGGACTTAATTTGCACAAGGAATGGCTCCAAATTTCTTTCTGTAAAGTTATCCTATTGTCAACATGATCAGAACATTGTTATTTTTATAACTCAACATTCCTAAATATATTTGTATAATTTATTGGTGTTTATTGTATGTGTGTGTGTGTTTTGCTAATAAGTAGTCTTTTTATAAGTGAAATATTCTGGTTCTCATACATAGTTGCATGCCTTTTACAAACAAATTGTAAATGGGCACTCTCAGAGTCAAGGTGAACTAATGCCATAAATCATTCTTGGCTATTGTTTTTGTGTGGTACACATGCCACATGTGGGCCAAATCTTAGAATAATCATTACTGGGATATCCTGACATCTTGTGTCACATTCTTAACATCATTCATTTTATTTGTTAAGTTTATTATTGTTGAATTTACATATATCTACAGATAGATATATCGTTAGCAGCTGTCCAATAATTTACACATGTGAGCAGATTTAAGCAGCTCTTGCAACTTTGGTTATTGTTTGTTCACATTCTTTCTTGTCACCAAACATGAATAACTGTAAAGAGATTATCACATCATCAAGAGGAAATGAACAAGCACATATGTTCCTAGTCTTGTGAAGTGAAACACTCTGAAGTGCAGAATATTAACATTTTATGCACTGCCTTTTGTTCCATACAAAAACGAATTAAATAGCTTTATTGCCCTACATCCAATGCTAGGTTCCTTCCTTAATTAAATAAAGATGCATCATTTCCAATTTCAGAAATCTAATGATACAACTGAATATTAGGTGCTCTTTATTATAGAAGATTGACTGCAGAGGATAGACATCTCTGAGTTGAAAGTAACATGTACCCCTGTATATATATTCTGAATTCTGTTCAGAAATAGTTAATCCAGAACACTTTTTTGTATAACATGTGGAATTCAGGCTCTCACTTGCTTTGCTGGGCCAAGTACTTAACAGAAGATGGAGTATATTGTTTCTTGTCCCGTAGTGTGAAATTATTTACCAGAATTTACTTAAAGCAACTTTGAAATGATTACAATTGCATTCAGTTTTGTTACCAATCTGAAACATATAGTAACACAGATATTAATTAAAAATATTCCAGTATATGTAAATGATGGCTCAATCATAGATGGAAACATTTGGGGTTGTACAAAGTATGTATAAGGGGTACTGCACCAGCTGTTTCCTTTCACTTAAGTAACTGATAGGAACATTCTGTTTATTCCAGCAAGTTAATCACTAATCAATTATCCATTTAATTACATGTCTTGCAGGCAATCTATAAATTTTTCAGTTTGATTGTGATTTCTTCATGGTGATAAAGCCATTTTAAGTCTTAAAACGTTGTAGCATGTACTTCTCTATTTTGAAATTTTACATAATCCTTTTGTGGCTTATTTTCAGAGCACAGGCCTTAGTATACATTTTTGTTATGTTGCCATATTGGCTATCAGTAATAGTACTCATATTAAAAAATAACCATGCTCTTCACACCTTGAAGGCAACATACCATATCCATTTCTTGAATCTAAAATTGTTAAACTAAATACCATTGGTGTATAAAGAACTTATATGTAGATTTTCTACTATATATTGTGGGGAATATTTGAAAAATAACTGCTAATAGTTACTAGTTGCAGATTTTCAGTTTGTAAATTTTACTTTAATGAGCCCCAGTGGAATTTCAGTTTGTTAAGATCTTTTTCACAAAGCAGTATTTTATAGTAAACTATGGTGAAAAAATTAACCAGACTTTGTTTTTTGTTTTTATAATGGTACATGTTCCTAATGCATTTTGTGAACACATGTTTAGAAAATCCTGGGCTAATTTTATCACCTTAGGATTTGTTAATGTACAAACTGTAAAGGGAGAGCAGTAGTCTGATAAATGTCAGGTATGTCTGTGTGCATGTGCTTATGTGTGTGTGTAAGAGTGAGTGCATGTGTGCTTGCAGGCACACTCTTGTAAAGACATACAACAGGTCTGATAAAGTATTTTTTGGATAGTAAAATGCAAGTGGTTTGGTAGTGTCCATATTTAGACAGTATCTAGATTTTAGCAGTACATGAATAGAATAGTATATTGTATGAAATAGCTCAGTCAGTAAGGTAACTAGTCTACAGGTGGGCAGCTCAGATTAGATTCCCGACAGTAATTTTTCTTTTTGCCACTGGATCTGTGACTGTCTCTGTGGCCCATCCAACTTCCTATCGAGTGAGCACTGGGGTTTCTTCTTCTGATGTCAAGGTTGAGAATTCATGGATCTATGCTTGCAGTGCCCCATATCATCATAGAATTGTGCCTAATTAAGCACTGGAAAATGTCCCCATGAAACACGAGGGGTACCCAAAACAAACCGAACTTATTTTTTTTAAACTTATTTATTAAAAAATTTTAAGCACAAACCTTCAATCCCATTCAAAGTACTCTCCACTTACACTAATACACTTGTCTAGTCTTTTATTCCATTTTTTAAAACATTGTCTAAATTCATCTTTTGAGATGCTTGACAGCGCCTCCGTCGTTTTTTCCTTCACCTCAGCAACATCAGCAAAACGCTTTCCTTTCATGTCTCTTTTCATTCGAGGAAACAAAAAAAAGTTTTGATCATTTCGGGACTCTTCTTTCAAAGCACAGCATGCTTCCACGCGACCTTGTTTTTGTTCAGCAGTCAGCAGTCGTGGCACGAATTTCGCAGCCACCCTTTTCATTCCCAAATCTTCTGTCAAAATTCGCTGAACTGAGCTCCAAGTCACTCCCGACAGCTCCACAATTTCTTCAATGGTCCGTTGTTGATCTTCCTTGATGATTTCACGAATTTTTTCAACATTTTCATGTGTTCGGGCTTTGGAAGGACGACCAGAACGAGGTTTGTCATCAATTGACATTTCACCATTTTTGAAACGGGAAAACCACTCAAACACTTGAGTTTTCCCCAATAGCATCGTCCTTGTACGCCGTTTTTAACATTTCAAGAGTTTCTGTTCCACTTTTCCCAAGCAAAAAGCAGAATTCCACCACCGCACACTGTTCACGAAAATCAGCCATTGCAAAAACGACAATCACACAAAACAGTTGTCACTATAAACTCTGCCAAAACCAGTCCTTACCTTCTGAAGCAACGGTAGTCGGCTTATCAACTCAGGAATGTTAGCTCTATGCGCTCATAGCGGCAAAATGTGGTACTACAAAAGCTCTGCCCACAAAAAAATTAGTTCGGTTTCTTTTGGGTACCCCATCGTAGTGCTTAACTGAGTATAGGGACAGCTTTACCCATAGAGTTACCCCAAGTGTGTAAAGACTGCCCTCTAATTGTGAGGCAGATACTAGGAAATATTTTTCATTAGGTTGTTTTTCCATCTCTGCTTTACTATAGAATTCAAATGTAAGACCCACTTAATTCAGATGTTAATTAGAGGAATTTCAGGCTTCCAAGGATTAAACAATTGCATTTTTATGGCACCATGCAACCATACTTGGTACAGGCACCCTTTTTAAATAAATAATGCCATTAAAATAGATTTATATAGATTGATATATCAAAGGCTTTCAGCATGGAACAACCCATTAGCACACTATGTAAGTAGGCTAAAAATTGGCTAAAAGTTACCT